GTGGCTTTACTCAGCAAGCTGTGACTTCTGGGTGAATACCTCAGCCCCCTTCCTCTCCCCTTTATAATTGTACCCCCTACCCAGAGCAGTGATTATATTAGAATACTTAATGTTATATAACACTTTAAAATGGATTATTGCTGCAGTAACTGAGGTTAGGCTCCAGCTGCAGTGGGCAGGGATTGGCTGCAATGTATAGCCAGCAACCTGCCTCCCCTGCTCATTAAATTCCCTAATGCATTTGCCTGTTAATTCCCAGGACAGCTGTAACAGTGGGTGTGTATATGGGGAGCAGCTCTCTTTCCCCCATCCCATGTATCTCGTAAATTAAGTTGCAAGAATTGTTTTAAAGAGACACTGTCAAGTTAAAAATAGTATATTTTAAACAAACTTCTTTACCTATTACAACACCCTAGGTTACTGCAAGAATTTGACAAATCCAACTTTCACTATCCTTGGTGGTTTTGTTTCTGTCTCAGTTTGGACAATAAACAAACTTGTTTCATTTCCAGCTCAATGGTGCTGCAGTATTTGGCTTTCAGACAGTGCAGGCCATAAGCGTATTAGTTTAACTGTTTCCATTGGAATTTAAAAAAACATCAGCATGGAAATATTTCTACTATTTTAAAATTGTTCTTCTACAAAATCCCATGTTTGAAGTAAGTGTCCCTATAACCTGGTCTCTCACTTCTTATCGAAGTGCAAACACTCACCTTGTTTTCTTCTCTTCAAACAAATACAAAATAGAATGAATTGCTCTTTAATTAGCTTAAGGTTCCCTGGTAACTAAAGCTGACACCCAGCAGCCTGGGTGCAAAGGCCAGGTGCCACACTTTTCAGCTGACAGAAGAGCATTCTCTTAATGGAGCTGGAATTTGATCCCAGGGCCTGACCTTGCTTTGAATGCTGAAACTGACAGTCCTGCACCTAACAAAGCACATAGTGGCTGTGTCCACTAACCCCCACTCACAATAGTGTGGTTAGCCACCAGTCTGAGAGAAATAATCAATTGGAGAAAAACAGAAGAAGGGGACCTTAATTTTGTTTAGAGTCCCTCAGAGTTTCTTTCCTGGGAGGGAGGGGTGTGGGGAGAGGGAAAAGATGTGGCTGTAATCAGCAGAAATGGACAATCATTGTCTCTTAGATTTTAAGAGGATAAAACAGCAGCTATTGATACTGGAGATGGCTTTTCATGGGAGGATCTAATTGTACCCTGCTGGCTGGTAATCTCTGATGCCCTTAGATGCCTTGGTGGTTGCAGAAAACCAACGTGCCACTTTCTTCTGTGGAAACATCCATGCAGACTAGAGACATTAGATCTGATGCAAGCTTTTGGGCTGTTTCACCTTCCCAAGCATTCAGTTTACTTTCATATAAAATGAGATCGAATGAGGAGGGAAAAAACCTGTTTGAAAACTTATCAGATGGACTTCTAAAAGAAAAAAACAACCCTTTTTCTTTCTCTTTACTGAGCAATATGTGGACCATTACCTTCATACCTTTAAAGTCTAAGGGAGACTTGAAGGGGCAGGAATCAATTTCTGGGAAGGGAAGAGAGCTAGAAAGATAAGTGAGATGCTGCACACTCAGAACTCCCATTTTAGTCAGTGAAAGCAAGAACTGCAGAATTCAGCCTTAAAGAACCCTTGCTTATGAGCTCTCCCATAACTTGATAGCATTAAGTTGGAGTGAAGAATACAACGTTTCTTGCTGGAATCATAGACCAGAGTTGTCAAAAGGAGACAGTCCCCCTATAGCATTCCCAACATGATGCAGTTTTGTGTTGTCTTACACATGCTGTACCCTGAAATGCTTAACAAGAACATTCAAATGATTTAATTATACATGAAAATTAAAAATAACTAGCACTTGTAAGGAGGTACAAAACATAAAGGGACACTGTCGGGAGAAATTTACAAAACACTGCGTGCAAAAGAAATTCTTCCATGATTTCCTTTCTATTCCAATTGAAAAATGTTTTTTCAAACAAGGATATTCCTCTGCCGTGTTTGCAATCCAACTATTACAGTACCAGGCTAGTGAAACTGACTACAAATGAAAGTGAACTGGATTGGTCTCTTCTCAGTGCCCAAATTATAGAGTGCAGCGTGAATTAAAAGCAAATTTTAATCATGTCAGTGTTGGGATAATATAAAGGGATTAGTAACAGGTAAGGGAACGTTGGTGGTTTGTGTTTGTTTTTTGTTTTTTTTAAAATAAATAAGGGCCTCACTCCACTGCAGGTGGAAGGAGCAGGGTTCTGCAGCGTTCTTCTCCTTTGTAGGACTGCTGCACAATTAGAGCTCTGTGGCTCTGGGATGGAGGAGAGCCAGAGGATTCCCATCCTTTTAAACCAACAGCAAACTTGCAACATAAATTACACTCTGTGAGCATCATCTTACGTACTTCCCCTTGGAAGTGAACTCTCTCAGGATTTCCCCGTTTAACAATTTGACAACTTAGCAGGATTTTTATGCCTCTGGAGGTGTGACTTGCCCTGACAGCACATGGAGTAATTTGGGAGAGTGAGAAATATTGACATTATTCCAGAAGGAAGTACAAGACTCCCCCAAGAGTGGAGAATTTGGGTTGATTTGAATTGGGACTCAGTGAGCGCAGCAAGTTCTGCTGTAGGACATAAGCTGGGCTGGGAGATCATTGCTGTGAGTACAGAAGACAGAGCACCTAGGAGTGAATGAGTGAGTAGGAGCTGTTATTAAAAGCTCCAGCAAGCCCTGTAGGTGTCTCAGACTATTGGGTGCAAATGCGTATAATGGTGAGCCCATAAGGAAGGGTTCACTGTGCCTAGATGATCAGATACTAAAAACCAGCGATTCCGCCATGTAAAAATGTGGAGACGCAGCAAGATAGAAATGTTCAGATTTCCTTGCTGATCTGTTTACAACATGTCATGTTAGATAATTTGAAAATTTAGTTTTTTATTTTTGGACAGCAATTGTTTTATTAATATTCTTCACTTCACCCAGCCTGGACAGCAGAACTAGTATTATCTGTTTCACTTTCTGGTTCTCAGACACTAGCATAGTAAATTTCATCCTGCAAAGAAGGAACTGCCAATTAAATTTGATGAAAACATTTGTTCACAGAAACTTGTAGTTAAGAAGCTTCAGTTCTCTCTGTAAAAGGCCTTGGAAGCATAGAGAGGCTGCCTAAGCCTGGCTTCATTTGAGGGAGTGTTTTTATATTGGAAGTGAATCTTCTGCCAACATTTCAGAACCTTGTGAAAAAAACAAAACAAACCCCAAGAATGATTGTTCTGCTCTCACCCCTCCCAGGACAAAGCATGCAAGTCTCCCAGACCTCTCTTCAGAGAGCTCTGTCCTACATACTGCTTCTAACTTGGCCTTCTGGATAACTTTAAGAGGTTACATGTGGTTGCACCAGAGTGGATGTGTCTGAATTAAATTGATGCACTTCTATTTTAACATATGCTTTTTGCTTCTATCCAAGGGTGAGCCAAGGAGAGGGGCAATCTAATTCTGCTGAAAAGTATTGCTTTATTTTTGATTCTCAACTTTACATAAGAGTTCAAACCAAACACAAAGCTGAACTGTCTGTGGAGCAGACACTGTGTGATGCATTGGGCACACTGCAGGTAGTTACAGATAGGGAAGCTTGGTTGCCTTCAATGCATTAATTTGTTTTCTGGTTTTTATCTGAGTTACACCACTATGGAATTGTTTGCGGAATGGTACTCCTAGATGTGGGATTTTAAAACAAATGAAACGTAATTGTGCAGGATGTCACTCAATCAGTTTTATTTTTGCTTTATTTTATATATATTTTCTGGTCTCCTGTACATTGCAGTGGGTGTGAAGATAGTGTTTTAATATTTGTACAAAGTTTAATTTAATTTTAATTGTTCTATGTATATAACTGCATTTCTAAATTAAAAAAAGTTCTTTTGAAGTGAATGTCTAACCTCTTGCGTGTGCTTTTTTTTTTAAATGTTATCCTTTGGCCTCATGCTGTTGGGCTGGAGTGGAGAGACCAACCAGCAGGTTATTTGATAATACTCTACACTTCTTTAGCACCTTCCATCTGGGGATGTCAAAGCTTGTTGCAGACAACGAATGAAGCCTTATCGCACCTGGGAGCTAAGGGGGTTCTGTTTCCATATTACATATGAGCAGACTGCACAGTCTTTTCCATGCATACAATGAGTAGGGCTGTCTTTCCCCTAGGTAATACATAAGGGGTGGAAGGTGAATGGGCAAAGTGACTCTGGAAAGGTGGTGGGTGAAGGAATAGGAGGAAGGAAAATTCCAAGACGGGTGAGGTGTTCATTGAATGGTTGGGCGGACCTGCCAGTGAAACAACTGTTGGTATTGAGTGGACTTGGTTTGGGAGAGATATAATGAAGACTACTGAGCTTGCCTGGTATAAATTAGCTTTAGCCTAAGAACAAGTTGAGATATCTTGATCCCAGTACCAGATTCTCTTAATCTCCTGACAAACTGGATGGGGCCTAGATTTCCTGAGACAAACTCCAGGGCCATTTTCTGGCGCAGTTCTTGTATATACCCACCCGCCCCGCTCTAGTCCCAGCTGATTTACTAACTTGCTGCATGATCTTGAACAGTGGGTGTCAAACTTTTTTTTACCGGCGACCCCTTTCACACAGCAAGCCAATAAACCCCCCCCAATAAATTAAACACACTTTTTAATATATTTAACACCATTATAAATGTTGGAGGCAAAGAGGGGTTTGGGGTGGAGGCTGACAGCTTGCGACCCCCCATGTAGTAACCTCCCGACCCCCAGCTCGAGAACCCTGATCTTGAACAAGGCACTTTGCTTCCCTCTGCTATTAATTGCTGTAGCATCATATGTGTTCATGCAATTAACAACTGCGTAGGAACACGGCTAGGAGCCTAGTGAGCTTCTATGTCCTAAATTAACAGATCAGAACCCACTAAAAACTGTGGTACAAGAGCAGGCAGCAGTGACAAACCAGCAATGGAGGGAAGACACTTGATGTGATTGGCTGCCTTTTCCAAGATACAGAGGGCAACATGAAAGGCCCTAATCCACGAATGGGGAAAAGGGGAGAGGGGCAAAGCGCTGTGCGTGAAGTAGGACTGGAAGAAAACCAGGTGAGATGTAAGCAGGTTGGAGCGGGTCAGAGTTTGGGGGATGAGGTGCTTGCACATGGCGTAAGGGGACAAGAAGTACTTGAGGATGGTGGGGTGTTTCGAGTGGCAGCAAAGAGGTTTATTTTAAAGTTGTTTCTCTAGTGCCTGGCATGGGAACTAGACCTTCTAGGCACTACTGGAGTGCAAAGAGCAGTAATTGCTGCAAGATTTCGATAGACTGGAGTGGGGAGAGTTGAGAGGAGGGGGTTACAATAAACAAGAAGAGAGACGAAGGGTTAGCAGTTGGGATGGAGGAAAGGGAGGATGTTAGCACCAACGTAGGAAGAGAGGATTTGGAGGGGAACGATAAAGAAGAGCAGAAGGAACGACAAGGTTGCAAATCTCAGGGTCATGGACAATGGTGGGTTTGGTAGTGAGAAGCAGGAGGGAAGAGAGAATTTCTGGAGGAAAGGTAAGCTCATCTGCTGAGATCCTGAATTGGAGATAGCAGTGGGACAACAGGAGGAGGTATTGGAGAGGCATTCTGAAACGCAGGCAGAATACTAGGGGATATGCAGATCTGAGTCCCAGAGTAAGGACTGGGGGTGTGACACCCTGTCTTAGGGCATGTTGCCCCTTTAAGACAGGTTGCAGGAACAGCTCTGCCCTGTTCTGGGTAGAAACTAAGAACAGATGGATTCTGGGACTTGTGGCCCAGAAGGGCCATGAGAGTTGGAGACTGTCCAGGAATGCTGGGAAGGAAGCCAGCTGTATATAAGCTCTCTGCCTGCAGTCCAGGCATTTGGGGAAGGAATGATCTCTCCATCTTGACCTGCACTGAGAGACAGCTAGAGAATGGAAGGCTGGAAAGGGAGTCATTTTGAAACTGTTGGCATGGGGAGCCCCTGAACAGGGTGACTTGAACAACTGGTGCAGGCAATTGCTTGCTTCCTTCAGGGCCACAACTTCAGCACAGGGGGGAGAGAAGCTCTTCTCCACTCCCCTGGACTGAGAAACCAAAAGCCTATGGACCCTCCAGAGACTGGGGTTTTGTGGGCTCCTCTTCCACATGTTTGTCCTTGAAATTTTGTTACCCAAGAGAGGGAGGAGTTTCTGGTTTAGCTGAAGGGGCTACCAGCAAGGGGAAATTGAGGCAGTGAGCACAGTCTCATGGTAATCCAGGTAAGACTCCCTCACAGGTGCTTGGCTGAACTTCCCTGAAATCTCCAAAATGATTCAACCATCCCAAACCAAAAAATGAGACTTGAAACCATACTGGATACATACCCAAGCTGAACTTTGCTGGGCAGCTGTCTGTCTGGCCAGTGGAGTCTCTGTTGGTCAGAGTAACGTTTGGGATTTCTCAATCCTGCAAATATTAATCAAGTTTCCAGGAATCGCAATCCTTGTCTCAGTAACCTATATTATGGGAGTCTGAGGTCTTGCATCCTTTGATCTATGCTAAAATACAAGACAGACGTGAGGAGGGGGAAAACATTCAGAAACCACAGAGAAATGGAGATCATCAAAGGTTTTGGCTTTGTGACATTCCCCAGGATACAATCTGGACTGTTGAACAGCTGTATCTCCTTAACTCTCTAGCCTGGGGGGGTGCCTTTTATGCTGCTTTGCTGTCAGAACAGCCATTCTTGGCCTGCTCACGCAGCCTTCAGCATGCAAATTCACTCCCAGATAAATACATGAGCACTCTGACCAGCCACTCATGAATTACATACAGGGTGACACCCGCAAATTCCTAGTCCCAGTCTTGTCCCCCCAAAATATGCATCTTGTACTGCTCAGTTTTGAACAGTACAAGCTCATACAGTCCATTTCATCAAAGGAAAATGATAATGCACTGACTTTGTTATCCCAAATGGAGTTTCCCACACACTCTAATCCAAACACACTGGCTAAAATAAAATAATAATGTAAGTTTATTCACTACAGAGAGAGAGTTTTTAAGTGATGATGCATAAAACTCAGGATTGGTTACAAAAGAAAATAAGAGTAAAACGCAAGCTAATACTTACTTTAACAAGCTACGTGAACGTAAAAGCAAGAGGTTTGGTCTCCGCACATGCTGTTGTAAATTTCACAAGCTGGGTCTCCTGTCAGCCTGAGACCCCTCCCCCTTAGTTGAGCCATTCAGGTATTCATTGATGACATGAGCAGGAGATGGGAGGAGGAAAGAGGAGTGAAGTCAAGTGTTTTCCTCCCCTCTTTATAATTCAATTTCTTGTGCTAGAAACATACTTGCTGAGTCATGGTGAGACACAGTCCATTGTGGATGTGAGGGTTGAACCGTCCCTGTGATGAAATGTAAATATTTTTGTTTATACCTTCCCGTTGCTGGAGAATGGCCACTTAAGTGGTGATAGCTCTTTAATACCTGGCTGTGGTGCTACTATGTCTTTGTCTTTGAAAAACTGGTTTGGGCCTGTTTGTCTTAACCTTGGAGCATGTTATAATGACACACAGTGTATAATCTTATAACTTCACATGCAATGTTGATACACACATTTTACCAGGGCAATAATGTTCAGCAGATTACGATATTTCAATGATCCCTCACAAGACATACTTTGTAAAAGTGGTGAACAAAATGGTATAGCTTATCACAGGTTTCAGTTCCCAAACTTATTAGCCTGTTGTGGTGGTGCTTTAGGAAAGCTCTATAACCTGCTTATCTTCTCTCCTGTCAATGGGATCCTATTTTCAGAGGGCAATTGGGATAATTTGTTGCTTTGTACTGACATGGTGGGATGTGGTAACTTTTCTGCTGGGTCTTTGAGTGTGAGGAATTTCCGAGTATGGGGGATTGTTGGCTATATTAGCAGTTATTGTGGGAGGGTTTCACGTGGGCCAATATGTCAGACTCATGGTGCATACTTAAATGCATACTCCAGGGTGCCTTTTTTTTTTTTAAAGGAAGCTAATCAGTAGCACAACATTCAGGGGAAGAAGATAGGGATTATTTTAGCCAGACCATCTTGTTCAATCCAGACACTAAGACTTTTTCATAATTTTCTATAGAGTGATAACTTTTGTCATGGATTTTTCTGCATCCCAAATTCCAGCATAGGAAAAAGGGTTAAGTGGGAAGAAGCAGTGACATCTCTGCTTATTTACCACAATGCATTTTCCATTCATCCTCAAACATAACTTCCGGACACCACATTGATGCTGTAACACTTGATGTTCTGACATGGAGGATCCTTCCCCCAGTCCCACGGCATCTGTGGGCTTTCCTGTGTCAGACAGGCGGGTGGGATTGATGCCTTCTGGGAACAGGTTTTTATAGCCCTGTGTTTTGCACTGGGCTATGGCTGCTTGCTGCTGGCAGCAGCTCTTGCAGCCAGAAATATGTATCATTTATTCTGCAGCTTTTATCTGCTAAATGTATTGGAAACAATTTGTCATTTTGGGTTTGTGCCTGTAGCAAGTGAGAGCCATGTGCAGAAAAGCTTGACTAAACTGGGCTGCAGCGGGGAGGGGAAAAGTCTGCAGTACTAGGCACCTCAAGAGCCAATGCTCAAAGGAGGAGTCCAGTTTGCAGAAGCAGCCAGACAGAAATGCCCCTGCCATGCAACTGGTTTGAGGAAACCTGCTCAAAAGAGGGAACAGACATACGCAAACAAGACACCCTCCTAAATTCACCCAGCGTTAAGCCAGGCATTTCAATGTACTGCCCAAACCCTGGGGAGGACGTTCTGGTGTGTGTGGATTATCCATGAATACAAAACCACCAGTACATCAACTCCATCGTAACAGTGCGTGAATCCTGTAACAAGTCCACTTGAGCACCAGCTTTGCTGAGCGCAGCAACCCCATTGTGCCTTCCAATAGGATTCCAGCTCCCTCCCACCAGTTTGCCCTCCAATAGGTCACAGTTTTCCCACTCCTTGGCGTCTCTTGTGAATCCTTAATTCCCTTGCAGCCTCTGACCCACCTTTGGGGCTTCCCCAGGATATGAAAACAACTCCCACCCCCATACTGGTATGTTAATTGGGGCTAATGGTTTTGTGTTAGAGGGCGTTGAGCACAGGGCTTGCTTTATGTTAGGAAGAGTGTCTGTTAATGGAAACCTTCCAGGGCAATGCCCTGGGGAGCAGCAGAAGGGATTATCACTAGAGCATGGTGGTGGCGGCTCTGTCTCTGGAAGGCATCATCACCGACCATTGTTAGCTGGCAATTGTATGCAGCAAAATGTGCTGTCACACATTAATGCGGTCTCTCTCTGCCCTGAGCCCCGGGGCACCATGCAGGACTCTTCAACTCTGTCCCGTTTCATTCTGGAACAACAGTGACTAGCTCAAGCCATGTTCCTGAGGTTTCAAAAGCCCAAGCCTGACAACAGGCCATGAGCCCAAAGAGAGGACAGTGGAGCTGAAGAGCCCAGACAACATCACAGTCTACACAGGAGCCCAGCACAGGGCCCCAGGGCATGAAAGACCAGGCCTTCAGCCACTCTGACAAGTCACCGGAGCCTGGGCCATGAAGAGCCCAGGCTGTCCGTCATCACAAAGCACAGGATCCTCGGAGTTGCAGGCCTGAAGCTGCATTCACAACAAAATCCAGGATCTAAGGGCACAGGTTCCCTCCATCATGGCAATGTGGCACAAAGACTCATGGTTTCCTAGTACTCCCCTGTCTGTACCAATCTGTTGCCGCTTGTCTTCTACGTAGATCATAAGCGCTTTGGGGCAGGGACTGTCTTGTTCTATGTTCGTACAGCGCGGTTCCCAGGGCTGGCATTCCATCCAGTGTGAAAAGCCTTAACCCCCCTCAAGTTCTCTCCCGCCCTCCCCTGCTGACCCTGTTACGCTGCCTGGTAATCTCTCATGCACGCTCCCTGGTGGTGGGACGAGGGCCACTGCTGGCGCAGTGCAGAGTGGCCAGGCCAAGCAGGATGCTGAAGGGGAAGCTCACCAGCCTGCTCTGTTCTTCTCAGCCCTGCTTGGCAAGCTGTGTTTCCATGGCAACTGGGAGGACAAGGTTCCCAGCTCATAAATCTGAAGTGACTGTGTGGGTGACCTGCCTGGTGTGAGAGACATGCTCTTGCTGCCCCTGAGCTGGCCGATGGGAGCCGGGGTGACCATGCAAAGGGAGGGCGCCACGCTGCATAGGCCGTAAATCCAGAGGCCCTGAACGAGGGCAGGTCATTTTGGGCAACAATTCAAGCAGCTGCTTGAGAGCCAGCCAGAGCTTGTGCTGGACGAGAGAATCGCCAGCCAGCTGGAAGTGACATGCGAAGGGCAATGGGGCAGTCTCAGAGCACCAGCAGGTGAGGAGCCTTGGGAGCAGGTTATGGCTGTGAGGAGGACATGGTGCAAATTGGCGCAGAGCAGTCACTTCATGGGTCACTGGGAGAGGAAGCTCTGCAGCAAAGGAGCTCTCGGCAGCGTTTCACCCGCTGCTGTCACTAACTCTCTATATGCTGTAATTGGGGTTATATACCTATATCACTTGCATTGGAGTCAGTTACCTGTAAATGCACCTTTAGTGTCAGTGTGGGACAGCAAAGGGCTCCAAAGGAAGGATGTGGGGCAAAGGTAAAGGACTGGGTATAATGGGCTGGTTTTCAATGCTTGACTTTCTTTCAAGTGTAAATTGCAGTCTGTGAAACTGACTGCATAGCAGGAGCTGGGCTGAGGAGAAGCCAGGGGTTCCAGCAGAGATGCTCAGTCATGCACAGCCGGCTTTTCCAGTTCCCTTCTGTATGCTTCTTAATCAGGCCGCACACATGGGCTGGGCCTGAAAGGCAGCTCTTCCCTTAAAGGAGCTCAGCTCCCTGCCTATTTTTAGAGCCGTTTGTTTGTGTAAAGTCTTAACGAAATAATACAGGTAAACCTAATCAGAGGTCAGACATGAATGCTCCATGCTCAGGGAAACAAACCTCTGATTTTACAGCCCTCTCAGACAATGGGAGTTTGGTTACTCAGGGTTTGCCTGCCCTAACTAACAACTTGAGATGGACCAGAACCAGGACACTTGAATTTGGGAGATGAGAATAAAAGGGGTTAGGGGTGGGGGTAGTTTTCAGTTCTAATTCCTAGAGCTCATCCTGTCCCTGTGGTTTGGGTTTTGTTTTGGTTCTCAAACTGGAGGAATGCACATCTCTGCTGTGGTTCTGGTGTGACAGCAGTCTTGCAAAAAAAAAAAAAGTTCAGGGAAGGTCAATGGAGCCTCAGGAAGAGCTGGAGCCTCTAGAGAGAGCCATCCAGGAGAACTGAACCAAACAGCCTGGGTCTTCCCACTTACAGCATTTTGGTAGCAAAATTAAGAGTTTCCCAAAATGGTATAAAATGTAGCAATTGCTGAATGTGGGCATCTGGGCAGTGCCAACACTTGGTGCTAGGACACCAGTATGAATTTTCCCCTCTCCCACTTCAATAAGGATCAAAAGTTCTCATCACTTGTTGATTAGTTGGGGTGTGAGTTCCGATGGCCTGGGGTTTACCATACAAAACCCACCACCACAGTTGTCCCCCTTGCTGGCAGTCTTGGCAGAGAGGCCAAGGACTGAATGGGCCACAGTGACTGAACCAATTTCTCCCTTTCTCACGTAGACCTTGTCTTCCCTCCCCCTCCCACAGTTTACCACCTCTTTTGTGCATTGAGAGTCATTTTATGGTGGGGCTCTTCATTTGCTTTTGAAGAGGCAAATCAGTCACATCTCACCAATCATAGTTGAAAAATTATGTTCAGATCATGATGCATTACCCCCAGCCATGGTGCACTGTGAGGGGAATGCCAGTATCTGTCGGGATGTTATCCCACTGGATAATATTGAAGGCCAGGGTTACCTCACCTCTAGTGCTAATAATTTATCTTTGTTTTGCATTTCTAGTGATAATTAAAAACCATCACAATAAAAATTTTGATGACTGCAGACAGATCAGCTTCCCCACCACTGTCCTGTGCCTTGGCCACGTCTGCTGTGCTTAACCATGCCCTGGCAAGGGCACCAGGAGGACAAGCAGATTGCAGTAAAGTGTTCATGATACGGTTAACGGGGCTACCCAGCATAATATGGGATTGATCCATGCTCCACTTCTCCCTTACTACATGTTTAATCAGTGGAAGTTTTCCTGTTGTGATGCAGTTAAAGCAAGTAGTGAGTTATCAGCCTGCAGTCCAGTGCATAGACTTATTTTTGTTGCACTGAGCAGTCCTCTTACAAAAACGATAGTTCAACTTCCAGATCTGTTTGGTCTTTGGCCTCTTTGCTGAGACACACCCACACCCTCCTCCCCAGCTTATTCATTTCCAGATGTTAACTATTGACCTGGGGTGTGTTAACTGTT